TTTTCTATGGGTTGGCATCTTTCCTAGGTGCGCTTGCTCTACCTGATAGGGGGAAAATGGTCCCAGGTAGCTCCAGGTTTACAAGATCATCAGAGCTCCTACTTCTAGAAGAGTGGTTGGCAGACTTCTTCCTTAAGGGATGAGATAGTATTTCAGACCATAGGTCTCTCACAGTCCTTAGCTCTCCCGTTGTAGCAGGAAAGCAGCCACAAGATAATATATTAACAAATGGGCGGCTGTTTTCCAGTAAAACTTTATTTACATGAATAGGTGGTGGGCTGAATTTGGCCCTTGGGCCATTGTTTGCTGACTTAGGTTTTGGAAGGAGATAAGGCCTCACTTCTGGTTCAGGTAGAAGTTGTAGGGAGGACCCTTCGTTGTGGCGCAGATGCTGTGTCCAGGGCTGATTTTAGGGGCAAAAATAGAATATAGGGGGCTAGCTGTGGTTATGGGAAATATTAATCATGCTGTTAACTGTGATTGCTTTGTTCTGGTTAAAGAAAGGACATTCTAATCTGGCTGGGAACTGTATGCCCTTGGGACCCGGGAGTCAACCTTGGACCTGGGAGATAACCTTGGAATACTGTCCATTCTCATTCAAGAACCGCCTGTTATCATGGAAAGATGAACAACCTTGTTGCCCACACAATTGAGTCCCAACCCGGTCTGCATAGCCTACTTCCTCATGCCTGTAATCCCTACTTCCCCACTGTAAGCTTTGTCCTACCTGATTTAAGCAGCTGGTTTATGGGGGGCTGCAGAGCAGATTTTTGTGGATGACCTGCTCTCTCCCATACCACCGGCATTATTGGAATAAATGGTCATATATGTATGAGCCTTGTCTCTGCTTAATTGGCTTAAGTAGTGACAGGCAGCCCAGACCCCTTGGGTGTCCGGTTTCACTGGGACTGGGATGAAGCCAGTCAGGCACTCACTTTAGCCACAACTTTTACATGGGTGTTGTCAGTGGAAATAGGCTTCTTCCACAGGCATGAGAAAAGCATTTGAGGGACCCTCGCGTAGGAGAATGAGGCGTAGAGGTAAGATTTATTGGAGTGAAAACAAAGGACTATTCCCCAGGTGCCAGGTGTCCCATTCACAGCCAGGTGGCCTAGCTCGTCTCACTGTGGAGTAAGTCCTGGGCCTGGTGAGCATCAGTGCTGACCAGGAAGATCAGGACCCAAACTGTAATGTCATCACCCAGGGCTCCTGCCGCGCTAAGGCCTGCTGTCGGAGCCACACGGCTGCTACGCCCGCCAACGAATGGGTGAACACATGCTACCAAGAATTATGTTATCTCAGGCTTGGGAGAGAGCAGGCTTTCTTTCAGACTAACCAATCTCTTTCCCAGTCCTTCTTGGGCTCATGCTGGGTCCTCTCCATCCAGGTTGGTCCTTTTCTCATCGTTTCCAGTCTAGATGCCACCCTTTATGTCACCATTTTGGCTACCACTGCGCCTTCCTCAAAGTTCTGCTTTGTCATCGGTTTCTACTGCCTATGTGTCTAGTAAAGGAATTTCTCCCACTCCTCCCTCAAACTCCCTGGGCTGTCCCAGGGAGCTTCTTCCTGCCTGCTCTGGAATTAGGTTCCCTTGGTGGAGGGTGCCGCCTTCCCTGGGGGCCTGGGAGTGCTGTGGCTTCCCAGTGAATCAGGTTTAACATCTGAGTCCATTTGTTCCCTTTCTTACTAGCTACCTCGCTAACAGCAAGCCAAATAATATCTATCTTGCAATATTAAAAAAAAATCAAGATTAATACAATAAAAATCCACATGTGCAAAATATCAAACAAGGCTCGGATGAGGGTGGGCTAGTGAGGCGTGTCAAGGCTTAGGGCCAGCTGTGGCCAGGCCATTGCCCAGCCTGTGTTACCTGCCCACCTAGGTAAGGAAGGGAAGGTGTGTATCTAGAAGGCAACTTCCGACAGAACACAGTCCCTTAGGAAAGAGGGGTGCTGCTTTCAGAAGAAAGGGGTATTGTTTGTCTGCCTTGGCACTACGTGCTTTTCATGTATGTTTTATTCTCTTATTCTTTTCCCTCAGAGCAAAGCTCACTTTATAGAAGAGGAAGATGAAGAACAAAATAAGTTGCCCATGGTCACACAACCTTACGTAGAATCTGAGGCAAGGTTTTGGTCCTCTTTGGACTCCAAAGCATGAATTCTTGAATTTTTGGCATCGATTAAAGCTGAGGCCTGTTGGAAACTTTGCCAAAGGCCCTGAGCTATTAGTTATCCTCTGTTAACGAGTGGCCCCAGGTGGCTAGCCTCAGTCACCCCTTCCTGGCTCTTTGTTCTGGTTGGCAGATGGCTTTCAGAAGTTGAGAGAGCCAGAAGCTCTCACCCACTTTTAGAATTAGCCCCTTGTTTCAAAGCAGCAAGAGATCGGTGCATATTTCCAAATTAAATTACAGACACCGTGAGCGTTAAGTGGCAGGTGAGCTGCACTTTAAATAGATCACATTAATTCTGGCAGTGGAAGCGGAGCCCTGCTGAGATAATTCTTATCATCAGCATCACTCTGGCAAGCTTTAGAAGCCTTCTGTAGCGGTAAGCAATTTGGGAAATTGAGAGGTGAAAACACACCTTTAAGTGTTTCATGTGCATTCAAGGTCAGAGGGAGGTGACTGCAGTTTTCAAGAGAGATGGCGATGTAAGTCACTTGATGCTAAAGGTGATGGATATCCGGATGGTTGTCCGGTGTGTTTCAAAACAGGTTTGCTGGCGGGCCCACTCAGGGTACTGCTCTCACCAAACTCCCCCAGCTGTGGTTTCTGAGAGAGGCTTCGAGCGGAAAGAAGGCTGTTAGCACTCTCATGCAGTTTGGGTTTGGGAAAGGGATTAGTGTCGCATTTAGGCATCGAGACAGAAGATGGTCCTGAGCGAACTCCCCTGTTGGTGGCTTCTCCAGTCATTCTTGGGACATTTATTGTAAATGATCCCAGAGGTTGGCATGATCCATGCAGAAGTATGTATGCACACTCCCTGTTGAAAGAGGGAACAACACAAATGCTCTCATATAAGAAGGTAATTATTAAGTAAGTGATGGTTAGTCATCATGGTCTGTGCATTGTGCTCAGTGCTTTACCTCCCTTTTCTCCATGGCTATCCCAGATGTTCTGCACTTTGGGCCTTTTGTTAAGGGAGAGGAATCCAAACCTTATCATGTTTAAGTGACCTGCTCAGGGCCATTCTACTGAACAATCTTTTACCTGTTGTTCTGTCCGCTAGTCTGGAAGTTTGTTGGAGACGAGTCCTTCCAGTCTCTGCCTATGAGGCCGTAGTCTCGCCCAGCCCCTGGCTCCTGGTTAAAAGGCAGTCGATGCTGGCTGAGCTGAAATATTAGAGTGAGCGTACGAACCCAGCGCCCAGTGTGTGACGTGTGTATGCGCATCCTTCTGGAGGGAAGGTTCACAGACCTTGCCACTTTCTCAGAGGGGTCTTGGGACCTGTTAGGCTCCTGGATTAGAATCCTTGTCTGGTAGCAGACTCAGTATTTTCTCTCTCAGTATATTGAGCATTTGTGAACATGATCATTTTAAAGAAGATAGACGCCCTCCTCACTTGGCAAGGCAGCGTGATTTTGTGGTTTGTCGTTCGACAGCTCTCAGTCCCTTCTGCTGTATTGCTTACTGTGAATTGCTGTGTGAGTTCCTTCACTTGTCCAGGCCTTGGACCTTGCCTTTGACATGGACGTGACCTTGGTGGTTATGAGGACTGAGTTCAGATATAAAATGTTTACTACAATGGCTGGTATGTACTTAATGCTTAATAAATAGTATTGGCTGTTGCTGTTGTTACTATTATTGGCAGCAGGTAAAAGTGTTGATGTGAAGTAAAGAAAATTGATTACAAAATTAGGTATACACTAGAATTACAACTAGAAACAAATCTGTGTGGGTGTGGATAGAAAAAGGGGGGATGTGAGGAGGTACAATGACTATTTTATGGATAAAAACAAACTTTCTTAGCTTTCCCTCAAAGCCTTATATCTGTTCCTTTCTCAGATCTATGAAACTCTCTCCCAAGGAATTGGAAATGAGGACAACTAGTTATGTACAAGGATGTTCAAAGCAGTATATAGGGAAAATTGGTAACATAACATGTTCCCCGCTGTAGAGAAATAAACAACAGGGAAGCCATCAAAAATCATATTTCCAAAGATCTTTAAATGTTACAGGAAAATATTCATGATAAAGACGAGAAAAAACAAATGAGGGTATAAAATTATGTGTGTGTGTGTGTATTTATATATACGTGCATGTATACATATGCACCCATATACAATACACACAATACAATGGTATATTAGTTTCTTACTATAACAAATTACCACAAAGCTCATGGCTGAAAACAACACAAATTAATGTTCTTACACTTACGAAGGGCTTAGTTCAAAGCCTATTTCACTGGATTAAAGTGAAGATGACATCAGGCTGGTTCCTTCTGGAGGCCCCAGGGTAGAATCTTCTGGCTTCCAGCTTTCCATGGCTATCGCTGGCTGCATCATTCCAATCTCTGCTTCTATGTCACCTGCTCCTCTTCTGTCCGATCTCCCTCCACCTCCCTCTTATAAAGATACTTGTGATGATTATGGTCACAGAGACTACCCAGAATAATCAATGACCTCTCCTTCTCCAGATCCTTAACTTAATCACATCTGCAAAAGTCCCTGTTGCCATGTAAACTAACACTCACAGGTTCCAGGGATTAAGACATGACTGTCTTTGGGGGTTATAATTCACCCTATCACAGATGTTGATTTTGTATAAAAAAAAGTACAGAAAAAAAGAGCGGAAGGAAATACTTGAAGATGTTAACAATGGCCATCTCTGGATGGTGGACTTGAGGTCGTTTTTATTTTCTGTATACTCTTTGGTGTCTTCCTTTTCTGTGCTAAGGAAATAGTTGTTTTTCAATCTTCAAAGATGCTCAGGGAAGGTTACTAAAGGTGATGCACGTCCCAGGCCAAGTGCCACAGCACCTGTCCCGCTGTCTCTGCAGAGCCCGTGTTCTGGTTCTATGTGAAGGAGGTCCTCAGCAGGCACGAGCTGCAGCGCTTCTACTCCCTGCGCCACATCGCCTCGGACGTGGGCCGCGGCCGGGCCTGGCTGCGCTGCGCCCTCAACGAACACTCGCTGGAGCGCTACCTGCACATGCTCCTGGCTGACCGCAGCAGGCTCAGGTACCCACTGGGGTTCTGGGAGGGCGTGTAGGCGAGTGGTTAAAACCACAGAACCTGGAGTCAGAAGCCTGGATTTACACCCTAGGGCCCCCCCCCGGCCCCCCCCCAGTCAGTCCCATTTGTTACACGAGAGAAGGCTTGTAAAGGGCTCAGCACGGCACCTGCGTAGAGCAAGCACTTACCTGCTCATTATTATTAAGGCTGGGGTGTGGGGTGTGATCTATGGTCACAGATCACAGCCTGCTCCTCACTTCATGGAATTTGAATTCGGGCTCTTTTCCAGTTCAGAATTTCTTTCTCTATTTTTTTAAAAATATATTTTATTGATTTTTTACAGAGAGGAAGGGAGAGGGATAGATAGTTAGAAACATCGATGAGAGAGAAACATCGATCAGCTGCCTCCTGCACACCTCTGACTGGGGATGTGCCCACAACCAAGGTACATGCCCTTGACCAGAATCTAACTTGAGACCTTTCAGTCCGCAGGCTGATGCTCTATCCACTGAGCCAAACTGGTTAGGGCAATTTCTTTCTCTTTAGATATTGGGTGTTTCCTGCCCAGTTTCACGTTTTGTCTTTACAACTGTTTCTGTTTTCCTTTTTTGTTAATCAATACCAAACTGACTGAAAAAAATATGGAAGTTTTAAGCTGGGAAGAGAAGTCATTGGTTATTAAAAAACCCCCCCCCCATTTTATTGTATTTTCTTTTTTTCTTGATCATAAAGTTCACTCTGTCAGGTAGCACTAGCCAGGTTATGCTGCCATAACAAACATGATGAAGACCACAGTGGCTTGAGACAGCCGAGTTTATTTCTTCCCTCTGCTTCATGTCTCTCGTGGGTGAACAGGGATTCTCATCACAGGGACCCAGGCTGATGGAGGCTCCATCTCTATAAAGATGTGGTTGCACTGAGCACTGGCTTGTAAAGCTTCTGCCCAAAGTGATGCTTCACCTCCTCACATGCACTGCTCAGGCAAGCTCGGCAGGGTGGGGAGATGTGGTTATGCCACAGCGATGGGGAGAGGGCACTGAATATGCTCCATGGTAGCACAGTCAGCCACATTTTCTCCAAAAACATTGACATTCCTGTCATTTTTCCTGTGCCCATGATGTCTGTGATGTTTATCTCTCTCTCTCCCAGTCTCTCTCTCTGACTTTGGCTGTTGTTTTCCCTCTGAGAATGGTGGACCAGACTTGTAGTTTTTTGTCAAGGGGACAATACAAAGGGACAGTGATCAATCCTGCCCTGGTTCCTTGAGTAACTTCTGCACATCCTCACTAGTGACGTTCCATTTAGCTCAATAAGTTGGCATTTCATTAGTACCGTGATATGTTCCATGTCTCAAGTCTCTCCTCTGTTTCTTCTGCCCCTAGGGTCACCTCTCTTCTGGTAATTTAATAGGCATTCTGGGATAGTGTGCTAGGGCTCTCACAGATACCTTTGAAGTTCTCACATTGATGCTGACTGGGGTGCTTTGTCCAGTTGTATGCTCAGATTCTGTGTGTCTGAAATGGGAGGGGTGGGGCCAGGACGCCTGATGCTGCCTGCATCTGTGTGCTGCCTGGGGTCTGAGTTGACTGTCTGTGTGTACCTCCTGAGCATTAACCAGCATTAATTAAGGAGAACATACTCATGTTCCTAAAAATGAATTCTAATCAAGCTCTTCCCACCACATAATTTGCAAGTAGCTCAGAGTTGTACACTCCACATCAAAGTTGAATTAACAATGAGCAGTTGAAGTGAATCCAGCTGTTAAGAATCATAGTTGAATTTACCTAAATCACTAGTGACTTTAATCTACTTTGATGTGGGAAAACCAAATTCATTTACGTACATGAAAACGGACTCAGATTTTTAAAGAATCAAAATTTGGGGAATCAGAGGTACTGTTGCCGTGCCAGCTCGAACGCGTGGTTCGTGCTTCCCCTGCCATTCTGCTCGGTCCATGTACTGAGCACGCGTGGCCTCTCTCTTTCTGTTAGTTGTATTCA